CATCACAGATTTGCCCCCAATTGCTTCCTCTCTCATCTATTTAATTCACTTCATCTCCACCGTTACATTCATATGTTGGTACCGATGTTATTTCTTTGTAAAGCGCCTTGGTTAAAGCGCTATATAAATTCCGCTAAGATAAAACTATATTCACCACAATGATGATGCTGATAGCCACCACAATGACTGCGATGTCAAGATTAATGGCAGTCATGATGAGGATTCAATTATCAAAGTTGTCTTTTTTGGTTAAAGCACGTGAGAACTCAGGAGACCAGAGCAGTCTCGTGGCCATGAGACCTGGGGAATTATTCTACCAATAGGGGTGGGGGGGCGATGATATGTACGATTCCAAATGGATTATAATTGGTGGGTAATTTTCGATTTTTAAAAACAAAATATACGGCACACAATGGGATACTTTTGCGCATTACTTCGGGAGATCTTTAACGAACACGGCTAAGCGGGCGGCGCGTACTATTACAGTATTCCGGTTATCGTTACACCCGCAGCGATAACCGGGGCGGCCGCTGCAATCGAACCGTGAAGCACCGCAACACCAAGCGGAGACCGCACTCCAGATCTCGACCAAGGAAGGAATCTACAATCAAAACATAAGAAGAGCCGATTTAAAGCTTTCGTGACTGCAGGGATTCGTCTTCTTGGTTCTTTCGGTAAAGTCACGTAGAAGGAAAATAATAAAATAATAAAAATAAAACATAGTAAAATAATTCTCACGACGTTTCGGCTACAACCCAGCTTAAATATACGCTCCAAGCTTGGTGGTGTTTCATTCTTCACCTGAGGACGGCTGCTTGCGTCGTAGCCGAAACGTCGTGAGAATTGTATTTTATTATGTTTTATTTTTATTATTTTATTACTTTCCTTCTACGTGACTTTACCGAAAGAACCAAGAAGATAAGAAGAGCCGTTGTTATTTTTTTTCAGAATTCGGTTTAACAAAAAAGTAAAAAAAAACACCCCTCAATAATTCAATAGCCGCAATACACGAGACGGGTGGCGGTCCTCAATTCAAGAACGTTCACGAAGCGGTCCTTTAAAGAGCCGCATGAGGCTACCCCCCGCAACCCCCACGATGCCCACACCCCCTGAGCTAGACCCGTTGTCACCCACTCAACGAAGCTACCGCTGCTGACGACAATGTTGCTGCGGGTGACTGCGGCGTGTCTGTGCCCACGTCCTCACGATATCTCCGCGGAAGATGCTCCACCGCTCCCCCATGGGCTCGGTCAGCACGATGGGCCTGCGGCTACCCGCCGGGTTGCGCGCCTTCGACGCGAGCGTCCAAGGGCGATTCATGCCGTAGCGGTGGTGCCTCTGCGCCCTCGTCACCGGCTTGACGGCACGTGCCGCCATGGCGAGCACGGCCGTGAGACGCATCTTCTCCCCTCGCGAACGCGACGTCCGCCGTCGCTTCCTTCCCTATGCCAAGTCCAGCGAGTGCGTTCAGCAGCAGCAGCAGCCGCCAAGACACGTGGGGGTTGACCTCCGGTGCTACGGCTGTGACCCCTTCGCCCCGCCCCGTACATCACGTGATCGGCTGTGACCACACCCACCCCACCCCCCCCCCCTAACACCACGTGCTCGCCGTCAGCCATTCAGGTGAGAGCTCGATGGTGGTTGACGATGACGTCGTGGCGGCCATCTTGGTAAGGTGGAGTCTATCGTTGCGTCATCGCACAACGGCTGTAACTGTACGGGGCTCGTGTTAATTGGGCGGCCATCTTAGGTAGGGGAGAAATACAGTGCGAGGCTACGTTTTAAATAAAATCGCTAAATGACGATAGAAAGAAAACTCATCTTATAGAGAATAAACGTGCAGTCTGGGAGGGAAAAAATCATACAAACCCCCACATACCCACCCCGCCAACAAGTTGCGAACAACACGGAGGACGTGTAAAAATGACAGCCTATGCGAGTGAGGCAAATGAAAACCACATCAACAGTTCTTGAAGAGCTGTCATTGTTGGCCCTTATTGTGTTAAGTTACCGTCAAATAAACTTTTCGCAATTGTGGCAGACTAACAGCAGCAGCAGCGCTGATGCATCGAGACGACCCAAGGACCGGTTCCATCAGAAATGGGACTAATACAATTAACTTTCTCCTCGTCGTAAAAAATTCCAAGTGGGATTACATCCAACAACAACAAACAGCGAAACATTGGCAAGAAGCCGCCTGAGGGGCCGTCCATAAATGACGTCACGCGATTTTTGATGATTTTTGACCCCCCCCCCCCCCCATTGTCACACGGCGGTGTGAGTTTAGTGGGGGGGGGGATTCAGTGGTGTGAGTTTAGTGGGGGGGGGGGGGTTAGTGGGGGGATAGTGGGGGGGGGGGGATTCAGCGGTGTGAGTTTAGTGGGGGGGGTTAGTGGGGGGGGGGGGGTTCGGTGGGGGGTTAGTGGGGGGGTCAGCGGTGTGAGTTTAGTGGGGGGGGGGGGGGTTAGTGAGGGGGGAGGTGGTTGAGCGGGTGTGGATTTAGTGGGGGGGGGGTTAGTGGGGGGGGTTCAGCGGTGTGAGTTTAGTGGGGGGGGGGGGTTAGTGGGGGGGGGGTTCAGAGGTGTGAGTTTAGTGGGGGGGGGGGGGGTTAGTGGGGGGGGTTCAGAGGTGTGAGTTTAGTGGGGGGGGTTAGTGGGGGGGTTCAGGGGTGGTGAGTTAGTGGGGGGGGGGGTTAGTGGGGGGGGGTTCAGGGGTGTGAGTTTAGTGGTGGGGGGGTTAGTGGGGGGGGGTTCAGAGGTGTGAGTTTAGTGGGGGGGGGTTAGTGGGGGGGGGTTCAGAGGTGTGAGTTTAGTGGGGGGGGGGGGGTTAGTGGGGGGGGTTCAGGGGTGTGAGTTTAGTGGGGGGGGGTTAGTGGGGGGGTTCAGGGGTGTGAGTTTAGTGGGGGGGGGGTTAGTGGGGGGGGGGTTCAGAGGTGTGAGTTTAGTGGGGGGGGTTAGTGGGGGGGGGGTTCAGAGGTGTGAGTTTAGTGGGGGGGGGTTAGTGGGGGGGGTCAGAGGTGTGAGCTTTAGTGGGGGGGGGCGGGGTTAGTGGGTGTGGGCTCGGTGGGGGGTTTAGTGGGGGGGGTGTCAGCGGTTGTGAGTTTAGTGGGGGGGTTAGTGGGGGGTGGTTAGTGGGCGGGTCAGCGGTGTGAGTTTAGTTTGGGGGGGGGTTAGGTGGGGGGGGTTCAGGGGTGTGAGTTTAGTGGGGGGGTTAGTGGGTGTGGGTTCGGTGGGGGGTTAGTGGGGGGGGGTCAGCGGTGTGAGTTTAGTGGGGGGGGGGTTAGTGGGGGGGGGGGTTATGTGGGCGGGTCAGCGCGTGTGAGTTTAGTGGGGGGGGGGGTTAGTGGGGGGGGTTAGTGGGGGGGTCAGCGGTGTGAGTTTAGTGGGGGGGGGTTAGTGGGGGGGTTCAGCGGTGTGAGTTTAGTGGGGGGGGGGGTTATGTGGGGGGGGGGTTCAGGGGTGTGAGTTTAGTGGGGGGGTTAGTGGGTGTGGGTTCGGTGGGGGGTTAGTGGGGGGGTCAGCGGTGTGAGTTTAGTGGGGGAAGGTTAGTGGGGGGGGTTAGTGGGGGGGGGGGGGGGGTTAGTGGGGGGGTCAGCGGTGTGAGTTTAGTGGGGGGGGTTAGTGGGGGGGGTTAGTGGGCGGGTCAGCGGTGTGAGTTTAGTGGGGGGGTTAGTGGGGGGGGGGTTAGTGGGGGGGTCAGGGTGTGAGTTAGTGGGGGGGGGGTTAGTGGGGGGGGTTCAGGGGTGTGAGTTTAGTGGGGGGGTTAGTGGGTGTGGGTTCGGTGGGGGGTTAGTGGGGGGGGGGTCAGCGGTGTGAGTTTAGTGGGGGGGGGGTTTAGTGGGGGGGGGGGTTAGTGGGCGGGTCAGCGGTGTGAGTTTAGTGGGGGGGGGGGTAGTGGGGGGGGTTAGTGGGGGGGTCAGCGGTGTGAGTTTAGTGGGGGGGGGTTAGTGGGGGGGGTTCAGCGGTGTGAGTTTAGTGGGGGGGGGGGTTAGTGGGGGGGGGGTTCAGGGGTGTGAGTTTAGTGGGGGGGTTAGTGGGTGTGGGTTCGGTGGGGGGTTAGTGGGGGGGTCAGCGGTGTGAGTTTAGTGGGGGAAGGTTAGTGGGGGGGGTTAGTGGGGGGGGGGGGGGGGTTAGTGGGGGGGTCAGCGGTGTGAGTTTAGTGGGGGGGGTTAGTGGGGGGGGTTAGTGGGCGGGTCAGCGGTGTGAGTTTAGTGGGGGGGGTTAGTGGGGGGGGGGTTAGTGGGGGGGTCAGCGGTGTGAGTTTAGTGGGGGGGGGGGGGTTAGTGGGGGGGGGTTCAGGGGTGTGAGTTTAGTGGGGGGGTTAGTGGGGGGGGGGGGTCAGCGGTTGTGAGTGTGGGGGGGGGTTAGTGGGGGGGGTTCAGGGGTGTGAGTTTAGTGGGGGGGTTAGTGGGGGGGGGGGGTCAGCGGTGTGAGTGTGGGGGGGGGGTTAGTGGGAGGGGGTTCAGGGGTGTGAGTTTAGTGGGGGGGTTAGTGGGGGGGGGGGGTCAGCGGTGTGAGTTTAGTGGGGGGGGTTAGTGTGGGGGGTTCAGGGGTGTGAGTTTAGTGGGGGGGGGGGGGGTTCAGAGGTGTGAGTTTAGTGGGGGGGGGTTAGTGGGGGGGGGGGGTTCAGGGGTGTGAGTTTAGTGGGGGGGGTTAGTGGGGGGGGGGTCAGCGGTGTGAGTGTGGGGAGGGGGGTTAGTGGGGGGGGGTTCAGGGGTGTGAGTTTAGTGGGGGGGGGGTTCAGGGGTGTGAGTTTAGTGGGGGGGTTAGTGGGGGGGGGGTCAGCGGTGTGAGTGTGGGGGGGGGGTTAGTGGGGGGGGTTCAGGGGTGTGAGTTTAGTGGGGGGGGGGTTCAGGGGTGTGAGTTTAGTGGGGGGGGTTGAGTGGGTGTTGGTTTAGAGGGGATTGGAATCGAGTGGGGGGGGGGGGATTGCGTGGGGGGGGACTGAGTGGGGGGGGGGGACTGAGTGGGGGGGGGGGGGTTTGAATGGGAGGGGGGCGGGGTTTCGTTCGTACCAGAAGAGGGAGGGGGGGTGTGTGACGAATGACGCACTTCCGCTCCCACAAGGCGTTGCGCGGGGCCCGCAGGAGGCGGCGAGGCGACATGGTGGGTGGTGGCGAGACGCGCCTCACGAAGCCCGCGGGCCCCGGGGCGGCCTCAGCGAGGCCCCAGCGGGGCCCCAGTGAGGCCTCAGCGGGGCCTCAGCGGGGCCCCAGTGAGGCCTCAGCGGGGCCCGCAGGCCTCAGCGAGGCCACAGCGAGGCCCGTGCGGTAGCAGCAGCAGCAACGCGGCTTTCCACGTTGCCCCACCGCACCCCTCGTTAAGCGAGGAGGTGGGGTGAGTTGGGGGTAGTTGATGAACGAGGTGGGTTGTGTTTCACGAGTGTGTGTCTCTCTCTGTGTGTGCGTGTCTCTGTGTCTCTTCTCCACCAGGCGGACTTCCTTAAGGGTCTTCCCGTGTACGACGAGAACAACTTCAGCCGATACCCCGCGGACTCGGTGTGCAAGGCCTCGGTGAGACAGTCTATAAACTCTACAGTATATATGTGGTACAGTCTGTGCAGTATACATAATGTAGTCTATACACACATACTATGGTGTGCAAGGCCTCGGTGAGACAGTCTATAATATCTACAGTATATATGTGGTACAGGCTGTGCAGTATACATAATGTAGTCTACACACATACTATGGTGTGCAAGGCCTCAGACAGTCTATAAACTCTACAGTATGTGGTACAGTCTGTGCAGTATACATAATGTAGTCTACACACAGGATAGGGTGTGCAAGGCCTCAGACAGTCTATAATGTATACAGTATATATGTGGTACAGTCTGCAGTATACATAATGTGGTCTATACACACATACTATGGTGTGCAAGGCCTCAGACAGTCTATAAACTCTACAGTATATATGTGGTACAGTCTGTGCAGTATACATAATGTAGTCTACACACACACAGGAAATGTTGTACCAGGCCTCGGTGAAACAGTCTATAAACTCTGCAGTATATATGTGGTACAGTCTGTGCAGTATACATAATGTAGTCTATACACACACATACTATGGTGTGCAAGGCCTCGGTGAGACAGTCTATAATATCTACAGTATATATGTGGTACAGTCTGTGCAGTATACATAATGTAGTCTATACACACAGGATACAGTGTGCAAGGCCTCAGACAGTCTATAATCTATACAGTATATACGTGGTACAGTCTGTGCAGTATACATAATGTAGTCTATACACACATACTATGGTGTGCAAGGCCTCAGACAGTCTATAATCTATACAGTATATATGTGGTACAGGCTGTGCAGTATACATAATGTAGTCTACACACAGGATACGGTGTACAAGGCCTCAGACAGTCTATAATATCTACAGTATATATGTGGTACAGGCTGTGCAGTATACATAATGTAGTCTATACACACAGGATACAGTGTGCAAGGCCTCAGACAGTCTATAAACTCTACAGTATATATGTGGTACAGTCTGTGCAGTATACATAATGTAGTCTACACACACAGGATAGGGTGTGCAAGGCCTCAGACAGTCCATAATCTCTACAGTATATATGTGGTACAGTCTGTGCAGTATACATAATGTAGTCTACACACACATACTATGGTGTGCAAGGCCTCAGACAGTCTATAAACTCTACAGTATATATGTGGTGCAGTCTGTGCAGTATACATAATGTAGTCTATACACACATACTATGGTGTGCAAGGCCTCAGACAGTCTATAAACTCTACAGTATATATGTTGTACAGTCTGTGCAGTATACATAATGTAGTCTATACACACACAGGATATGGTGTGCAAGGCCTCAGACAGTCCATAATCTCTACAGTATATATGTGGTACAGGCTGTGCAGTATACATAATGTAGTCTATACACACATACTATGGTGTGCAAGGCCTCAGACAGTCTATAAACTCTACAGTATATATGTTGAACAGTCTGTGCAGTATACATAATGCAGTCTATACACAGGGTATCGTAGAGCTAGTACTACCCCGTGGACTCGGTGTGCCAGGCCTATATCTGTATAGCCTACAGTCTTTACCCTACAGTCTATCTATTGCCAACAGTCGCATCAATATAAATGTGTCGTTAAACCCGCCACCACCCGACACAGCCCATTGGTAAGGTTTGTCACGTAAACAGAACGTGCCAATTCGTTACTAGTAGAGCACGCCGGTGTGTTGGAGAGCAAATCCACAGCATTTACATTCTAAGTACGACGTTTCGCCTGTAATTGCAACCGGCATCATCAGGCGACAACCAGATTTGTGGACGCATCCACCTGTTTCGTTCCTTAAATAGAGGGATAGATGTGATGACGTCACTTGTGATTGGCACGTTCTGTTTACGTGACAAACCTTTACTAATTGGCTGTGTCGGGTGGTGGCGGGTTTAACGACACATTTATATTTACGCGATCTCACCCAAATTAAAAATAAATCTATATAATGGGTCTTATCTTATCTGTCTTATAATGAGCTCTGAAGTCAGCAGTGGTAGTTCCCAAACTGTTGGAGACGATATTTTGGCCGACCGTCCGGGGCTTTAGAAGTGGGCCACAGGAACTGTGTTTGCAGACGTAATTTTGCTGCTATATTTTGTAAGACTTTCAAAGTAACAATTGACGGCACTTTTGGAGGAGTTTTAATCGAGAAAAGTACGTTATTGGCGCAAAGTGGTCCGCAAACATTGAGGGTTGACGGGACAAGTTTGAAACCACTGTTCTTGAGAGAAGAAATCTATATGAGGTGGGAGGTCGATAGATCTAGTCGCGTTTGTGTGCTATGTAAACTCACGTTTTGTTGTTTGGATCTGTTGGTCTTGCACAGAGACTCACAGAGAGAGCAATAGACCATAAAGACTCGGACTCTGTACCCCAGTTAAGGGCCTTCCTCCTTGCGTTCTGCCTATGACTGACTGCCTCTTTCTCACGAAAAGTAAACGTCCTTACTGATTATGTGCAGCGTCTAGAGGTGCAGTCTTATTTAGACACGAAAGTAGACTCGATTATCCGTGCCAATGATGGGTAGGTTGGACCGCGGATAATCCAAAAAGATCTGTTTACCGCGGATCATTATGTCTAAGTTAAGAAAATTTAGTTTGTTAATTAACTGAACAAAAATTTGTAGTAAAGAATGTATTGATCTTGTTTTATTACAAAAGTCCAATCAAAAACATGCTCTCATTTAAACAGCTTTGGAAAATTATGTATAATATCCAGGTTCTGATTTAAAGTTAAAATAACACTTCCGTTTCTTTGCCATTGCACGGTTTCGTAAATTAGAACTCGCAACATAAATGATCGGATACATCACTCGAAATGAAGCACAGCTGACGATTTTGATTGTTACTCTTTCGATTTAGAATGAATACTAACGACAGATAGATGCGCGTGCTCGGTGATATATATAATAACACTTCCCTGCTCCGACAAAGAAAACTGCCCGCGAAGTGTATATCAGAGCCATGTCAGTCAACATCAATCAAACTCCGCCCACTGTTGTAAAGATATGCAACTACTGTACTGTAGAGGCGATCACGTGGCTTTCGAATTAACCGGAACACATTTGTTCACTTTAAACACTGTGACTTGTAATACACATTTCCAAGAGTAACACTGTATCAGTGTTAAATTTCGATTTAAAGCTTTCGCAGGGATTCATCTTATTGGTTCTTTAGGTAAAGTCACGTAGAATGGGTATAAAATAATAAAATAAAACATAATAAAATAATACTCACGACGTTTCGGCCACAACGCAAGCAGCCGTCCTCAGGTGAAGCTGGGTTGGAAGGGGGGGAAGGGCGCCCTTCCCCCCCTTCCAACCCAGCTTAAATATACGCTCCAAGCATGGTGCTGTTTCATTCAGACGCTGTCTCCCCGACAGACCTGGTCTTCACCTGAGGACGGCTGCTTGCGTTGTGGCCGAAACGTCGTGAGAATTATTTTATAATGTTATATTTAATTATTTTATTATTTCCATTCTACGTGACTTTACCGAAAGAACCAAGAAGATGTATCGGTGTTTTTAGATTATTAATTTGGGCATAAGGGAAAATACATGAGTTATTAATTTGTCAAAATCTTAAGTGCGCGGTTTTTCCAATTTGCGGATTAACTGCACGCGGTTGATCGAGAATCTACCGTATACAAATCTGCATTGTACAGACTGAATATCTGAACCTCGCTCCCTATTCGTCCATATCTAGATGAACCAATCAACGCCCACGTTTGGCGCAATTTCGGATACCTCGGTTACTCGAAAGCGAACGATTCACCCTTCAGGCTTTTTTTTGACTGACGTCTATCTCCAAACTCTGATTCACTCTCCTCCACTTTCGTCATCGCCTCTCCCTTCCTGAGCCTTTCACTCTACCCTATCTGCTCCCTCTCTGCTCCCCCTCTTTCACCTCTCTGTTTCCCTTCTTTCACCTCTCTGCTCCCCCATCTCTACTCTTTCCACCCACTCCTCCCTTTACACTCACACTCTGCTGACTCCACCCCTTCTCCCATATTAATTATTTTCTCCATCCACTCCTGTCTCAGCACCTTCTCCGCACCCCCATCCCCCTCTGCGTTCTCCTCTCTCTTCGCCCAATTACGCCGTTTGCTTTTAACTGCCAGGGGTGGCTCTGCCCACCTCAGTCCCTCCACTTTCTCAACTCTCCTCTCTCGCTGCATCCCCCTCCCTTCCATCGCCTCCCTCCGTCTCTTGTCTTCCCTCCCTGTTTCGCCTCTCGGTTGTTCACGGATGATGTGGGTTGGAGTGGCGTGGCATTGTGATGTCACTTGCCATCCTGGGTTTATTTTCTCTGCTCAATCTAGATTCGAAGCTTTCGTGACTGCAATAATCCCAACTCTTTGGTTCTTTCGGTAAAGTCACGTAGGTATAAAATAAAAAAAATCACGATGTTTCAGGCGCAACACAAGCGTCCGTCATCAGGTGGGAAAGCATGGCCTGTTGCTGATGCAGACTGTTTTAAAACAATTTTAAAACGTCGTGATTGATTTTTTTTTTCACTTTCTCACTTTCAGGCAGTGGCCGCTACTGCTGCTGCTGTTGCAAGCGGAGATGTGTAGAGAGAGGGGGAAAAGGGTCTCACTGCTGTGTGTGGGAGGCAGTATTTTAGCATTGCAACTTCATTGAGAATTTAGTCTCGCAGAAGCAGCTTCACAGAAATCTCCCTCTCTTATCTGCCTCAATTTCCCACTCTTTGTAATGTATGGGGTGTTATAGCCTTACAGATGCTATTGCACATGTACATGTCCTGCCCTTTGTCAAGCCACTGCTGGATTAGAGACCTTCCAACGCCGTGCAGGTCGTAGGGTGTTATTTGACCATACTTCAGATTTTTTCGCGCGCGCATGTGTGTATGCATGTCGTGAGGAGCGGTGGTATCGCGGTTAGCGCGCTGCACTACGAACCTGGCAGCCGAGTTCGATTCCCCCTCACGGCCAACACCAGTGACGATTATCTGAACCGGTCCTGGGCCTCCCCTAGGTCGACTCTGCCTCAAATGAGTACCTGGTGCAGTGTCAACATCGCCACTGGGGAGACAAAAGCGGTTGGGTGTGGTGCTGGCCACGCAACCCCTCGTGTGCCACAGTGCCGGCCTTCATAAGTGCTTGCTAACACCACTTGCCCCAACAGTCTGTTAAGGCTACACGGGGGAACTTTGTCTCTGTCTTTGGTGTCGCAGAGTCGCAGGCCGCCCGTGTACCTGCCGACGCGCGAGTACCCCTCGGAGCAGGGTGAGACGTGCATTTACACTACACCCCCCCCCCCCTCCGCGCGGCAGCTCCCATTACACCGTCGTCTATTAGAGGGGCGATGAAGAAGCCTCGGTGCGCTTGAGTCTGCGCAGACAACGCCCGCTTACCCGCCGCGTCAAATGAAGGTGGAAATTGACCTTAGAATTGCGCAGGATTGGGTGAACAAACGTGAGTTACGGGGCATCGTGTTGACTCTTAAGGAAGGGCATGTGGGCTTGGGCAGGAGGCGATACTCAGACGATAAAGTGGCGGCCAGAGAGGAAGTAGCGTGCGGGAGAGGGACGTCCGCTGCAGAGATGGAGCGATGGAAGCCGGTTCGTATGCAGGGGCTGCTCGGAGGATTTTTGCGTCGCGAGACCGTGAGAGAGGTGGTGACGGCTTGGGAAGGCCTTGCGCGTTGAACAGATTGTGGCTGATGATGAATGTGCTATCGAGATGAGGATTCGGGAAGAAAGCTTTCCCATGTAGGTACAAGGGGATAAGGATTTGTATTTATAGGGCCGCATGCTTGTATGCCTCTAAGCACCTTGCATCTCATCTCAACCATTCCCATGCGCTGCTGCAGTTTAGCCAAGGATACGCCCGGTAGCAGCTGTCCCTGTGCGGCACAACGGGAACGCAGCACTGGCCTACCGGTTGGGCATTCGTCTGACAGCAGGGGGCAAAGTTGCCGCGTTGCGTTTCCCCAGATAAGTAATTTGTACCGTGAAGACGGTGCAAGTGGCCTGCTCATTTTAAAATGACGTCCTGGGATATTTAACGTCCTCTGTGAAGCAGACACAGCCGTTTAACACGAAGGCTTTCGCGACTAATATTATCCATAATACAGGTTTCTTGGATTATATCACGTAAATATATAAACACACCGGCGTGCTGTACTCGTAACAAATTGGCGTGTTCTGTTTACGTGACAACCTTTACTAATAGGCTGTGTCAGGTGGTAGCGGGTTTAGCGACACATCTATTTACGCGATCGAACCCAAAAAAACCTTTAACATGGAAGACACAGCCGTGTTTGCCGCCCCTCACTGCTGCTGTCGTTCAGTCGTTCGGCAGCGGCCTGACGATGAGTCCTAACCAGACAAGTCCCCGGACAGCGCAGCCTCTCATCTTGACAAGGGAGGCCTTGGATGCTTGCGGAGGCGACGCGGTCCGTGCGGTTCCACCATGCCCGCCGTTCACATTGTGCGCTGTGGTTGTTTTCGCAGTCATCATCACAGAGAAGACGAACATCCTCCTCCGCTATCTTAACCAGCGGTTGGACAAGCGGGTGAGCTCCCTACCGCCCGGTGCGTGCCGCGCTATATTCGGATAAACGACAGGAAAGGAGAGAAACTCACCGACGGCGAGCTGGGACAGACGGAACTGCCCCCCGTGACGCTCAGTGACAGATACAGCCGCCACATGTCCATTTCGTGAAATTCGTGCATGTTACCGTGACGATTGACATGCGTAATGTATGTGCATCGTTCACGCACGTTGTGCATGCACATGATGTATGTTGATTACCCTATGAGTAACCCAGTCGTTAATGGATATCCACTGTCATTTATATGCATCCATTACCCTCCCCCACCCCCGGTCTTCGCGCCTATTTGGCTCACAAGTGACAATTATCCCTCTAAGACCGAAACAGGAAGATTTCCCCACAACCCTGGTTGTTGCCTGACGATGCTAGTTGTAATTACTGGCGAAACGAATTGGCACGTCTGGTTTACGTGACAAACCTTACTAATTGGCTGTGTTCTTTGGTTTTTTCCGGTAAAGTCACGTATAAAAATAAAATAATTTTTATACGTGACTTTACCGAAAAAACCAAAGAATAATTCCTGCAGTCACGAAAGCTCCAAAATTAAGATTAATTGGCTGTGTTTCGGGTGGTGGCGGGTTTAACGACACATGTTTACGCGATCTAACCCAAAAAACCTGTTATGGATTGTATAATGTTTAAAATTATGTTCTTGATAATTGGTGTTTTACCCTTCTATCTGGCAACAAAACTGACACCTTTTTTACAAGGAGTCATGTTTGCATAGACCGCAATACCTGCAGCCATAATGCAAACAAAAAACATAACTCTGATAATGTGCACTGTCCTTGAAGTTGATTGGTCCACACCCGAGACCGCTTTCCTTAGAGCCTAGTCTCACATGGGTTGGACCAGATGATGCCAAAAGGCATTATGACTGCAGATATTGCGGTCTATGCAAACATGACTCGTTGTAAATAAGGTGTCAGTTTTGTTGCCAGATAGAAGGGTAAAAAACCAATTATCATATTTTTTACTGGCAAATGAGGTTCCAATAGTGTCAATTATGTTCTTGTAGAGCGTCGCGTAACGCCTCTTCTTCGCTACCCACCAGAGCTCGGGCAAGAAGCGCGACCAAGGGCAGATGGACGCGGAGGGCGAGGGCGCAGCACCGCCGCAGAAGATGCCGCGGCACGACAGCGAAGACATGAACGAGGACACTTAAGAAGAGCCGCCTCCCGCGGTGACGCTCGTCCGATTCGGGGGTGGCTACTCGGTCGGCCGTGCGGCCGGTTTTGTCGGTGGTTCGCTCGCCCCACCCCCTTTGTTCACCGTCACCACCACCCCCCACCTCACCACCACCCCCGGCGATCTCGCGTGTCCGGGCGGCGGGAGCGGAACCCGCTCCGAGGCTCAGCGGGGCCCACCCCCGCTGTGCTTTGGCCAGAACGAATGCTCTCGTTCGCTCGTTGCGCCCGCAAGCACACACACACACGCTCGCCGACTCAAATGCACGTACCCACGATCGCTCGCCCACTTGCCTCTGCGTTACCCGCGCTGACGTGCGCACCTGTTCATTCACTCACCCGTGTATACTTGCAGTCGAATGGAGATTCGCCGTCCCACACCACGGACGCTCAATCGCCCATTGAACCACTGGTGTGGGGTCTTTGATTCATTCACTTGCCCACCAACCCACTCGCCCACTTACACGGGGTCAGTTGTCTCTTAGCAATGGTATCCCACTCGCTCCAACGCACCCACTTAACCATCCCGTTCACTCAGTCACCCACTCACCCGCTTGCCAACATGAGGGGTGGTTCTTGATAATGGTAACCCACTCACCCACCCACTCATCCACCCACCCACCCGTCCACTCGAATCACTCACCCACTCGACTCAATCTTGGGTACAAATGGAGCACAACTACAATTGACGATGGAATTTTCCTAAAAAGAACACGCTCGCACTCATCTCACAAACGACCCTTCTAACGACGTTTTGTTATATATACGTGTATATTATTTTTTTGTCGTTTTCGTCTTTTGTACGTCTGCCACCCGTCTGTCCGTACGTCTATTTACTTTTTGTTTTTAGTTCGGCGCGTAACGCTTCCTGCGGACGTTTGCGTTTTGCGTTGTCTCGGACCTCGTGATCTTTTTGTCATCGTCCTCCCCTCCCCCCTCGTGCCCCCCCGTCCCCAAGTCTCCCCCCTCACCGATGCTCCCAGTGAGCAGCACAGTGTTGCCCACAAGCCCCGTGGACGCGTCACTTTTAAAACGTCACCCGTGAACATTTTTGCTTCGGCGTGTTTGACTCGGGGTCGGCACGCTGGGCCTGCGTGCGGTCTGTTGGTCACCGGGTTCGTTCTCCCACCGGTGCAAGTTCACGAAACGCCCCTCCTCCCCTGTGCCTCTGTCCAGCCAGCAGTTATTACTCGAGATCGCCACAGTTGGTCTGCAGGTCGTGTGCGGTGGGGGTAAAGTGTGGGTTACTCCCACCTCTTGGACGACGCGTGTGTTTGTTCAGCGTGTAAGAAGACCAAGGTGAAAACGACCACTCGAGTGGCTCTTTAGAGCTCAGTCTAGCGGGCGGGGTGGGTGCCCCTTTCCTCTGGCAGTGGTGAAAGAAAATTACTGTTTCTCGCGCTCGCCACCGAGCATCAGGGCCACGCGCACGTCTTGGCTGCCTGTCTCTCTGACGATCACCCGACGTCGGTAGGTGCTGCAGGAGATGCACTCGGGGTGTCGCATTGCCTGTCAAGCAAGTTTAAAAGAGTTAAGAGAACGCTATGGGGGACACCTGCCCCTGACTCGGTCACTCGCTCGCTCCTCTTTCAAACGAGGGGTGGTGGGGGGGGGGGGAGGTTGCTACCCGTAGGAAGTTTCTTTCGCACTAAAGCAGCTGCTGCTAGTAAATAAAAGTAGGCCCCGTACCTTAACCCTGTCCCCTGCTAGCCCAATTAAATTGATGCCATTTGGTTTTGTAATTCTGCCGTGTAAATTTGCAAATAGAAGCATGCAAATCAGTTTCATTCCATTTACTGTAGATTTTCGCCCCCCCCATGTGGAGCTGTCAACTAATGCGCAGCTTGTTCGCCTGGTTTCCAACCACAACCGGAGCGCTTAGTACAGCGGGTTTGCTGTTTTGCATCCTGTTAAAATAATTCTACCCCGAACGGACTGCGCGGCAAAGTAATTATTCCTCTTTGGGGTTCATTTTATTTAAGTCATCGTGGGAGTGTCAAGTTGAACGTTCTCCCGCTATATTCAAACGGTAACATTTCATAAAAAACGACTAGCGGCATCTCTCGGCGGCACTTGAAACGCAACTGGCATGAATGGTCCGACGTGCAGGGGAGGTGAGGGGGGGTCTTGGTTTGTTCTTGCAATGATGATCCCTTTGCTAATTTTGTGGGATGTTTACCAAAAGTGAAACACTCCCGTGTGTGCGTGCGCCGAGTCATTTCACGCGTTGCGTTGATTATCACCAAGATCGCTAAGCCTCCTGCTATGGGAAACAAATCCTTGAAGCTAAAACCTGTCACTGCCTCATCGTCATGATGTGGAGACCGGATAGAATTGTTTTTTTTTTGCGGAGGAGGAAATGGGATTTTTACTGCAACAGCTGGTCACCGTCAAGCTCATCTTGTGGTTCCTCGTGCTTGTCTGAACACGTTATATATGACGCCGAGATCAAACGTATCGATTAATTATTTGTTGGGTGGGGGTAAAGGATAGGGTGGTGAGAGTGGATGAGAGTGTGCAAATGAAATGTTTTTTTTTTTATTTGTGGTATAAGCAGTGTACGGAAGGATGGAGGGATGTGTACCCTTCGTTTTGCTTAAGGTATTTCTGCAGTGCCAATGGCTCTACCCCGTGATAACAAAGTTCACTGTGGATTGACAATTCACGTGTGACGTGCATTTGGACCTCTCGATGTCCGTTTTCCACCGACGCATCCGAGCCAAGCCAGCCGAGCGTGAATTGGTTTTTCCCCGCTGGCTGTTTTGCTGTGCCGCAATCAAATCACTGCACTGGCCTCGCAAGACAAGGGCCAGGCGTCAGGCTAATGCGTCAATTCGACTTAAACACAGGGTCACCGTGTCGCCCCCACGCATGCCCCGCCTTGCTCGTTGCGTGCACCGTCGACACGGCATCTCGTGCAGACGCGTTGCATCGAGTTCCATAACCTGGACAGCACCAGGGGACTGGTTTGGCATGGCCCCAGCGCGGCTCGGTTTTTGCAGTAGAAATTGGATGTTAACGAGCGGTGACGTCGTTTGTAGGCCCGACAGTAGGGGACGACTCGACGGGCAGCGGCGATTGCCACGTCTGCGTTTCTTGGGCGATGTAAAAGTTGGACATTTGTATTGACTGGGTGACCGGTAGCGCGCATTGCTCGTTGTTTTTATCGTCTTTAAAGTTACATGCTAAAAAAAAAAGGGCGAGGAAAATTTTGGTTGCAGAAAAAATCTCGATTTTATATTCGGACTCGATACCCTTGAGAACCTTTTGAGGATTGTTTAAAATACAATTTTTTTTTTTATATATACCTGGTCCAAAATTTGAAGGGTCTTGAATACAAATAATTTGGGTGTTCAGATTTTTTTAAAATGTCATTTGTATTTAGCACCCTTTAAAAACTCTGCGGGTACAACCGTTCACCGTCATAGCTTCAAAAACTAAACTTCACATTTTGACCCAAAATTTGTTAGCCTGAAATAAAAAAAATGTTGGCTTTCGAATTTTTATTGGGTTGAGCGCAGACACGACTATATTTGTCAAATGTTCACTTTCAAGCCCTATGAAACAATAAAAATTTACTTGTGCCAGCCAGTCAGGATTATCGATAGATATCTATGATGTGACATGTACAATGGACTACTGCTGTCCTCCCACCGGATTATTTGCCGATTGCTCACTGTCTGTGCTAGAAGGTCGCCTAATATTTCGTATTTAAATTGTCCGCCGCTAAATTCCTAGAAAAAGAATCGTATTTAACCTCGGTGTTTATGAAAAAAAAAGATGTTCTAATTGGGTTCGCGGCCGAATGAACAGAGGCACACAAATTAAAACCAAAGCCATCCCAGGGGTCTCGATCCTCTTGGGTTGAGCCACCGCCGGCTGTTTCCTGAAGCTCCAAAGGTGGTGTCTGGCAGCAGAGGAAGAAGAAACTGTAGCCAGTACTCGACCGCACGCGTTTCCCCAACGCAATTGCCTTCAGACGATGGTAAACTCATCACTTCCTCGTGCCCACTTGTGCATTCTTTTGAGAATTCAGCTGCTGTAGTTTTTTTTATATGTAAATAAAAGTCTGGCCCAATTCGAATTTGACTCGGTCGGCATTTTTTTTTGTTACCTGCGTTCTTTTTTTTTACACAATTACTAAAAACTTTTAATTCGACCGAACATTTTGGCCGGGTTAATGTGGGGTGGAGAGAGCAACTCGAGTTTGATTTCTGTCCACGGCTAAACATCGGTGGCGAGTGATATCTGAACAGTTCATGGGTTGCCTCATCGACAATGCGCCCAAGCCGGCGTGATAAAAGCGTGGCCAGACCGATATGGGTCGGAGCACATCCTGCTTCTCTTCCCTTAAACCAACCCCCACCTCTTCTTGGTTCTTTCGGTAAAGTCACGTAGAATGGAAATAATAAAATAAAACATAATAAAATAATTCTCACGACGTTCGGCCACAACGCAAGCAGCCGTCCTCAGGTGAAGACCAGATCTGGTCTTCACCTGAGGACGGCTGCTTGCGTTGTGGCCAAAACGTCGTGAGAATTATTTTATTATTTCCATTCTACGTGACTTTATCGAAAGAACCAAGAAGATGAATCCCTGCAGTCACGAAAACTTTAAATCGAAATTCAACCCCCACCTCTTCTCCCTGCCCCCAGCTACATTTAGGACAACCCCAATCCTTGTCACTCCCTCTAACCGTACCCCGATCTCTACCCCAACCCCTGTAACTATCACTACCCCAAAACCCCTAAACATAGCCCAACTGCATCTTCTGTCACCGTAACCACACTCTTCATCTTAACGACTACCATCTTGTGTAAATTTTTTTAATGTTGTAAAGTGCCCAGGAGTAAGGCTCCTACATACATCTTTCACAAGATACGAATTTTGACTCAAGCTGGCGATCCTCGTTATCGTGTAGAGCGACTGGCTGCCAGCCTCTTCTTTCGGCTGTCGACTTCCCAAGCGGTGTGCACCTTGCTTTTAAGAATCGCCGCTTTATTAATTCTCCAAAAACTGCGGTGGACACCGCGTGAAATGAATTTTCCTGGCTCATTTGCAGTTGCTTCGAGTGGAGGTGCCCACTCCATGGGGACTAACTCATTGTAACTGCAGTTAGCGTTGTTTGTTAGCCCCCTTCGGAGGCTCTGCGCAGCGACAAGGCACGTGTGCGATGTACATTTGAACTAGAGGTTTCTCGCACCAATGGAGGTTGTTTTTTTTTTAAGTATTTATAAATAAAAAAAAATCAGCTTTTTGGGACAGACGCCTGAACAAATTCGAAGGCTCGATCCGATAGGGTGCAGAAACCTTTGGTGGCCGTGTGCGGAGTTGAGCCAGGCCTGCACGTTGGACATTGACCATTTTTGTATGTCTTTATTTTTTAAAACGTATCGTTAAATCCACTATTGGGGGGAGGGATGCCCTCGTATTGTGATGGGTTGGTTGAGCTTGGGCGACTTTTGACAAAATACCAGTTCCTCTTATTCGGTCACCCGTTGGTTGTATCGAGAGTTATCGTAATGCCATTTACACGGGATTGACCGAGCCTGTTGTCCCTAACATTTTACTTCTGTGAAGTCCCTTCACAAATGGCAAATCTACATTCGTTGTAAAAAAAAAAAAGTCGTTTGCAGAATTAGAATGTAAATCCGCCACCGTTTGCTCTTTTTTTCCCCATTCCGCACCATCGATTGCCGTTTCTCACGCGCGTTGCCCAAGTCTGCGTTCCCTGCACATGTCGCGTTTGCGGTTTCGGTTTTGCTCCGTTCACCTTACTTGGTATTGGCAGCAACGGGCAAATCTTGTTCCCCAGCGTGCGCCCCCCACAAAAGACCGGCGTTTGACGGTGGCCGTTTTTGAGTTCAGCTCGTCGCTTGCTATCGCACGGTGGAAGATTTCGGCATTCGTGCGCGCGGCCCAACTGCTTTTGTTTTGAAAAGAAAATGACGAAAAGAAAAGCATCCAACGAGTAATAAAAACGTAAACGACTTGAGGAGTTTAATCTAAAAAGTAACCAAATGTCTGAAGCAGCAGGCTTTTACAAGTGGTAACTTTCTAAAATGGGTAGCAGCCCGAGTGTTGGCCATACACACAGCTTTATGTAGTGTGTTTGAATAAAGTGTATTGCGGATAAGACATTTTACTTCCTTTGCCCTCTGGTGGTCTGTGTTTTTGTGTGCAAGTGTCTGCTGTCCCATCACCGTGAGCTAAACTCACATTAGCTGCATTACTTGACTTGCAATTCAAATCAATGCTGGAACCTTTTAAATAAAAATGTCCTCTCAATTACATTACAATTGTGCTATGGGCGTCAAATCATGAGAACAAATTTAAATCATGAACTAGTCCGCTATGGGTGAATCGCCCTGCGACAGAGAACAACATCTGGAAGAACATCCCCGTACTACTCTTTGGTTCTTTCGGTAAAGTCACGCATAAAGATAAAATAATAAATTAAATAATAGCATACGACGTTTCGATTGCAACACAAGCAATCATCAGGTATACATTTTGCTTGCTATTTCATTTATACCTGATGATTGCTTGTGTTGCAATCGAAACGTCGTATGCTATTATTTAATGTATTATTTTATCTTTATACGTGACTTTACCGAAAGAACCAAAGAGTAATTCCTGCAGTCACGAAAGCTCCAAATTAAGATTATCCCCGTACTAATTCGGACGTCCCTTCCAATATCTCTTATCCACAATGCTGTCACCACCTCTTATTTTCTTTACCAGGTAAGGCCCACTGAGCTATATAACTTTTTCAGAAGCAACCTGTCTATCACAAACGATAGCTCAATGAAGTAGCTAATCACGTGGAAATTTCTAACAGCCAAATACTATTAAGCGCATGTTTCTAAATGTGAACGGAAAAACCGGAGGACCAAAAGTAAAATCCACGCCACCACGGTGAGAACATGCAAACTTCAACTATACAGCCTTCAGGGTCGAGCCCAAACTCACGATCTCCTGCATGCCAGGCGCAGCACCTCACCATGACCTGCCATAGAGGTGTTCCTCGCGATGTTAAACTGTGCGCCGCCTTTGCAAAAGATTTATCGTCCTCGGAGAAAAATTTTGCTGAAATGACGGACCAAATTAACCAGTGACGAAACCTCACCCACGATAGGTGAAGTTGAATCCAACATTTTAAAATCCTTTATATTAAGTTCGCTTGCTTGCTTAGGACCGTGCAAATCTTTCGGTCGTTTTTTAACCCACTTCCCGTGATCCAATCGAGCTGACATTTTCCACACAGACTCGTTGTGCGTGACAATTAATGTTCGTGAAATTTTTTTCCAAAATTTTACACTTTTTAGGACAAAAATATATTTAATTACCAATTGCTTAATGGTGCAATGCAATCATCTGACCCATAGGTGGCAGCCATCTCAAGCCAGAGGACGAGAGGACTCTAGCCGCCACGCATATAAAGGATTTACTGTATAGTGAAAAACTGTTTTTACGGGTTATACTTATTTCTCTCTCCCTGCACTTGTCACAGGTGTGTTTGTTAATACTTGTTTCACAAGTTAAACCTTGTGCTGTATAATATTACCAACCTGCCTTGGGGAACTGTGGGGATGTTTTTCAAATGGTCAACAATACGTAGCTGTCATCTTGGAAGTGGGTCACAGAGGTGCGACTCTCCGTGCACAAATCGGGGGTTGGCGTAACCAGACGCGTTGGTTTTGAGAATAAAATTTGCATGTATGAAGAATTTCTTTCGCACTGTACGTAGCCAACCGTGCTAATCGGAGGTGTGCGGGAAGGACAATTAAAAACAAAAAGCAGTTCTAAAGAAATTCGTTTTCAATTTAGATTTAACAGTGGATAGCTCCAGTGGCTTCCTACAATCGGAAGAACGTTCCAAATGTGCGCCATGCGGTGACCGTCTTTCTTCGATGGTTAGCCAAAAGCTGCTGCGAGGATGACCAGAGTTTGCGTGATGGTGTATACTCCTTGACGAGATCGGCAAGGTAAAATACGAAAATCATTGGCTTAAATGACCCGCACAAACATGAAAACTCACCCACACAGGTACATGGGCTGTTGAACTACTGCCTATTGTTCATATTGCTGCTGTGCTCACGCATTACGGATCTCACTCATAAAACAGTCGGGCGACTGACTGAACGGGACGATCCGTGGAACAAATCAATACTTTCAAAACTGAAATAAGAGTTTTATTTACGTTAAAATAACTACAGCGCAGAGTTAAGAAGAAGGTGTGACTTGGCAAATACACTCCGCAATGTCTCTCTTCTTCTTGGTTCTTTCGGTAAAGTCACGTAGAAGGGAAATAATGAAATAATAAAAATTAAACATTTAATACAATTCTCACGACGTTTCGGCCACAACGCAAGCAGCCGTCCTCAGGTGAAGAACAGGTCTGTCGGAAAGACAGGGTCTGAATGAATGAATGAGACGCTGTCTTTCCGACAGCCCTGTTCTTCACCTGAGGACGGCTGCTTGCGTTGTGGCCGAAACGTCGTGAGAATTGTATTAAATGTTTAATTTTTATTATGTTAAATTTGTATTATTTTATTATTTCCCTTCTACGTGACTTTACCGAAAGAACCAAGAAGATGAATCCCTGCAGTCACGAAAGCTTTAAATCGAAATTTAATGTCTCTCTTATTTAGTGACGAGCGTTATGTTGTATGCTGTTTTAGGAACCCTTTGCTGGTGCGGCACTGACCTCTGAACCACCCGGCCAACATTGTAATTATAAAAATGTGATTATTATATATATACAGGGTATGTTTGGCAAGTGTGTGTAAATTAATCTCAATTTAAGTAATTAAAAAGGCCACGCGGACAGTGGCAAGTGGAGGAAAGGGTCTGTTTGAACGGATGTCTTTCAAATACGGTGACGCAGAGCTCAAATCTTGCCGTCCGATATTGCGTCTTGGAGACGGGGCACTTCTTGGCAGATCTTGTAACACTCCTGAAAGAAAAACGTGGAGAGTGAATAAGAAAGCACCAACGTGTGACCTTGGAAGCATAAAAGCAACCGCAGACCTCATCATCCAGCATGAAGAATTGTGCCAAATCAGTGTTTCGTTTCTTGTC